GGACTAGGGAGGGGGCAGCGCCCCCCTCTTTCCTTCTCCCTCTCCTCTCCTTCCTTCTTCTCCTACTTGGACTGGGAAAGGGAAAACCTACTCCTACTAGGAGTAGGAATCCCCCTTTGGGCGCGCCCCTTGTGACCGGACCTCCTCCTCCTCCCCTCCTTTATATACGGGGGAGGGGGCACCCCATAGACACACAAGTTGACAATTGTCTTAGCCATGTGCGGTGCCCCTTCACAGATTTCCACCTCGGTCGTATCTTTGTAGTGCTTAGGCGAAGCCCTGCGTCAGTAACTTCATCATCACCATCATCACGCCGTCGTGCTGACGAAACTCTCCCTCGGCCTCAACTAGATCAAGAGTACGAGGGATGTCACCGAGTTGAACGTGTGCAGATCGCGGAGGTGCCGTGCGTTCGGTACTTGATCGGTTGGATCGCGAAGACGTTCGACTACATCAACTGCGTTACTCAACGCTTCGCTTTCGGTCTACGAGGGTACGTAGACACACTCTCCCCTCTCATTGCTATGCATCTCCTAGATAGATCTTGCGTGATCGTAGATTTTTTTTTTTGAAATACCGCGTTCCCCAACAGGGCCCTATAGCACAATTGGTGCACCAACCCTTCCCTTTATTTTTTTTGCAAGTACCATTCCTTGACCTAGGTGGGTGGAAAGAAATCAAATCCTTTCCATCACTAGGCTCTGCCTTACTCTACAAATCTCATTCTTCCTCCTCCAACCGTTCCATGTTCATCTTCTTCCTCACGTAGCCGTCAGCTAACCCAGCCCTAACCGCCCGTCTCTAATCCCCACAGCCGGCGGCTACCGATGGGTTGCCACCCGCCCTCCATCCCGTCTAAGCCCTGCCCCAATGAACAGCTCCCCCACCCCCGGCCCCGCCCCAGTTAAGTTTCTTACTCACTTCCGTCGACTATTGCCAGCTCTCACTTGTACACGGCTCAGCCTCGCCGTGGCCGACACTCCTCACGTCGTTCCCGCCTTCAGCCTCGTGCTGCCTAGAAGTGACCGACGCATGAAATTTTTGTAGGTATCTGACATTAGCAAAACATGATATGTAAAGCATGTAAATCACACACGTGTGGCTTTTGACACGTGGCCTCCAACCACAGAGTGCTTCAACAAGAAAGGGGAAGGCCGAGAAGTCATCGTAGAGGACACAACGGTCGATAACAACAAACATTTTACTAGACTAGAGGCTAAAATTCACAAGACGGGACAAAAGTGACCTCAGGTAATAAATTTGATAACGGGAGGACATCCCCTTTGCTGTAGGTGCACTCTGAAGCACATCCATAGTGAAATTACCGACTGAATTGCAGAGTGGAATCTGGTCCCTCGGAGGCGGATCAAGTGGCAGATGGATTTACAAAGCCATTGCAGGTTCGACAACTACAAACTTTCAAGAACAATCTCAATCTTGACACATTTAGATTGAAGGGGATGTTAAATGATGTAATTGTAGTTGTAACGTGACATATGTCACGATGGTGTTAACATGTGTCGTGCGTTGTAATCTTAGGCAGGTTGTTGTTAGTTAAAGATCCTCATATTGTATAGTCTTGGATGAGGGGTCAAGCCACACAACAACCTGTGCTAATTGTATTCTCGTTCTCCCTACTTAACACGCACGTGTCCCTGCACAGATGCATACACTTCCAATCTTCTTTTCTTTCAACCTCGAGTAATAAGTTTGATAACCGGAGGACGTCCTCTTGCTCTAGGTGCACTCTCAATCACACCCATGGTGAAATTTCCGAGTGAATTGCAGAGTGGAATCTGGTCCCTCGGAGGTGGAGCAATGCATATATACGTAGCAAGTAATTATGCCGGATTCCACGAGACAAAAAAAGGCGGGAATATGATGACAACCCAATGCATATATGTGTTTGTATATTCCTTGTTTTATCGTTAGAGACAACAAGTAGGCGTGATGGATTTAACCAAGTGTCCACTCATAAAAAGTGTGCAGAGCAGGCACGGCAATCTGATGGACACAATCGTATGGTTTTCTAGGAGTGGTTTCAACAGTTTTGTAATGTAATATAAAGGGAAAAGGAATTAATCGATGGGAAGAAGCCGGCCGTGCATTTCACTCTCAACAGCTCCATCGAATTGTTTTGTTTAATCCTGCGCCTACATACATGCATACATACGCGTACAGCTGGTGGTTGAACAGCTGTGTACACACATTTGGCTGTGGTCATGCAGTCCAAATGGCCGATGGAGGTGAAAGGAAAATGTACTCGACGAATCACGTGGGTCACAGCTCGCTCCGATATGTTTCTTGTTGTAAACTTTCACGCTGCGCCAAATGCTTGGACATGACGAGGAGGAGGAATATGTCGTGTTTTGATGGACCTTGGAGCACCCCCAGTGCTCTGCCGCTTCATGTTACGTGCCCCCGTCTTTCCCAAAGACCCCGTTCCTTGGTTTTCATGTGCCATTCGTTGAGTTCCTCAGGCTCAGTACAAACTCCCATTTGTCTTAAAATTCTTGTTTTAAATTTGTTTAGATACGGGTGTATCTAACACTAAAACATAAATAGATACATCTGTATTTAAACAAATCTAAGATAATAATTTTGGGACGGATGAAGTATTTGTTTGCTTGACGAAAAAAGAAAAAGTAAAACCGACCGAGCGGAGCCTGGCTGACTCATGTAGGCCGTAGAAGCCAGATCTGACGGCGAGGGCGCAGCCAGCAGCCACACGCTGGGCCAGGGGGATCTTAAACTGGCAGAGTTGCTGCGGGGAGTCAACGGTCAACCCAGCCGCGATATCTGCGCCCGCGCGTTCACAGCGTATCCGGAACTCCGCGCGCTCCCTGCTGCTCTGCTATGCTCTATAAATTACAGACAGGCCCCGACGCTCTCAACATCTCTTTCGCTCCCCCTCTCTCTCTGTGTACATCCTCCTCTCACACATCTCCCTCTGCTACTCTCCATTGCTCAAGACAAGGCCGGCCGGCAGAACATGGGGACGCAGGCAGCGGAGAACTTCGAACCGCTGGCCAAGGTACGTTCGTGCTCCTGCTCAGCAATTAATCTCCCTCTCTCGCTGTTAAGAAAATTACAGTCGCAAATCATCTTGCTAATCAACTGAAAAGAAGATACCCAGTAAAAGTTTTAGATAGATAGATACTAGATAGAAAGAGAGAGAGAATCAAGAATCTGAGTTGGTGCGAGAAGCATGGAGCTAGCTTCAGAGGTGGACATGACGTGAAATGGATAAACCCGGACGAAAAGGCAAAAAGCGGCTTCTTGGATGCGTTTCCATGGGGGAGGATCCCCTTCCGTCTCCCCGCCGGCAGCTCGTGCCACACCGAGCAGACAAAAAACCAACCGGATGGGAGATGGCCCCGCCGAGCCAGTTCGTAGCTACGCACCGGTACCCTACCAGTTCGTCTTCCGCACGTGAAAACAAGAGAAGCCCGCCTCGCACCTTCACACTCTTGATTTTGCCCTACTACTTTCTGGCTCGGCTCCCCTTTTCTCGCTCTCTAGAAGATGCAGCCCTATGCATCATGCCCGTCCACAGTAGGCTCTCTAGAATTTGGCGATTAAAGTATCAGTTTGCACCATGCCCGTCATATGATCGGTGTGATTTGCGGTGCTTTGCATTAACTGCCCAATTCTGCCTTCTCTCTCCCCCGTTCTCTGAAAATTGGTTCTGGTCCTCTCGAGTGCCCTTGTGCTGTAATTTTGACTCGGCTAGAGCAAATTTCGACTCAGACATCACATGAAACAAAAATAAGAATGAAAAAGTCTCTTGTTGTCTCTCTCGCATGGCCCGCCCACCTTCTCTCGACTGTGAAGTATGAACGATCCCTCTCCTTTTTCAGTACTTTGTCCTATGTTTCGCCTTAGCGTCCAAAACCAGGAAGAATACTCCACAATTTGTACTAGTTTACAAGAGTCTTCATGCCGCAATTTGCACTAGATGATCCTTGGAACCTCAAAGGACGCATAAAGGTCCCTACCTGTTTATTACCACCGTGAAATTTTACTGAGAGAATATTACTCTACGTACTCAGTCAGGATAGCACTACCCCTGTTTCGAAATATACCGTTCAATTTAAACTGCAAAAACGTCTTATAAACAGAGGGTGTAGCATTTTCATAGCAATTTTGTGGGAAACCCACCGAGAGAATGGATGTCTCTCCCGGCAGAATTTTCATAATCCGACAGAACATAATTATTTCAAAAGTTCCGGAAGCCACTGCCACCTTTGTACACATGGTTACCAAAACTTGTTCTGAATCAATTACAGTAACAAAATTGCCCTTTTTCACCTTATTTCAAAAAATGCAAATTTAAATATATTTTCAAAAAGGAAGGTTACACATCCGTCCCTGTATCCTGGGACGTATGCAACCAATTTATACGTATTAATAAAGATGCTAGATGAGTAGACAAAAACATCGCTTACAAGTAGGATCAGTATATTCTGTTGTACTACTACTAGTATCACGTTGCTGTACATTGGAATAGCCGTTGGCATTTTGGCAGCTGCTGCCACGAGATTGCATCACAGCTAACAAGGGGTCAAGCCAGATAAATTAGACACATAATCCAGCAGATTAGCTTTGTCACGTTCTCCAACGACAATATGTTAATTATAGATTAGATGTGTCAGGAGTAAGATAACTAGGATAGTAACAACTGGCACTGCTACTTGCAAGTTTTTTTTTTTTTTTTTTGAGAAATCACTTGCAAGCTGCTGCCACTTGGTGTACATAAAGAGGCCCGATCTTGTTTCAACTTTCAACCGCAGCTTTGAAATCACAGCCTGGTTTGATTGGCTTCTTCGATTCAAAACTACATAAACAAGTGTGTTACCGTTGTCATGTGAACGTGCTTGACAAAATAAATAGATTATCTTTGCCATGAGGTGGCCGTGACAATTAAGCATCATGAGTTTGACTTTGGCGACTACTTGAGTGGCCATGTGACAAGTCAACTGCCGAGAAGAAACGGAATCTCTAAGCACTCCATTTTACCTACAAAATTCAAAGACGTCCCGTCACTGGGTTGAAACTTTCTGGCCGATTTGCTGTCCCTTTCTTTCACTGCTCCTTAAGACGAAAGCCATGGAAATGCAAGAAGGTTTCAACAGATTAGAGAAAGTAGATTATGTGGTACACAATTCAGATATGGACATGTGGTTCCTACTTTTTGATAGATTTTTCACTCAGTAGGATTTTTGTAGAGGTTTTGTGCATGGTTCATGTCTAACAAGCATGGCGATTACTTGATCGCAGGATGTCAGGACGGATGAGCAGAAGAAGATCGACGACTGGCTCCCTATCACGTCGTCGAGGAACGCCAAGTGGTGGTACTCGGCCTTCCACAATGTCACCGCCATGGTGGGCGCGGGAGTGCTCAGCCTCCCCTACGCCATGTCCGAGCTCGGCTGGTACGCCATCCACCATTCAATGGATTCACCACCTTCTTCATCATGATCTTCGCAGTGTATAACTTTTGTTTGTTGGTTGGTTCCACAGGGGCCCTGGCATCGCGGTGCTGATCATCTCGTGGGTGATCACGCTCTACACGCTGTGGCAGATGGTGGAGATGCACGAGATGGTGCCCGGGAAGCGGTTCGACCGGTACCACGAGCTCGGGCAGCACGCCTTCGGCGACAAGCTGGGGCTCTGGATCGTGGTGCCGCAGCAGCTGATCGTGGAGGTGGGCGTGAACATCGTGTACATGGTCACCGGCGGGAGGTCGCTCAAGAAGTTCCACGACGTGATCTGCGACGGCAAGTGCAAGGACATCAAGCTCACCTTCTTCATCATGATCTTCGCGTCCGTGCACTTCGTCCTCTCGCAGCTGCCCAACTTCAACTCCATCTCTGGCGTGTCCCTGGCCGCCGCCGTCATGTCGCTGTCCTACTCGACCATCGCGTGGGGCGCGTCGGTGGACAAGGGCAAGATGGTGAACGTGGACTACAACCTCCGCGCCACCACGACGCCGGGGAAGGTGTTCGGCTTCTTCGGGGCGCTGGGCGAGGTGGCGTTCGCGTACGCCGGCCACAACGTGGTGCTGGAGATCCAGGCCACCATCCCGTCCACGCCGGAGAAGCCGTCCAAGAAGCCCATGTGGAAGGGCGTGGTGGTGGCCTACATCGTCGTCGCGCTCTGCTACTTCCCCGTCGCCCTCATCGGCTACTGGGCCTTCGGCAACAGCGTCGACGACAACATCCTCATCACCCTCAACAAGCCCACCTGGCTCATCGCCATGGCCAACATGATGGTTGTCATCCATGTCATCGGAAGCTACCAGGTACACACACACATTTTCCAACAATTCTTTTTGCTATCCGTATATACAAGCTCTAGCATATGCCTGAAACTGAACCCTAATGGACGGCGCCGCCATGTTGTAGATTTACGCGATGCCGGTGTTCGACATGATCGAGACGGTGCTGGTGAAGAAGCTCAAGTTCCCTCCCGGCCTCACACTCCGCTTGATTGCCCGGAGCCTCTATGTTGGTAGGGCCTCCTCATCTTCTTCAGACTTAAATAAGGCTCTCATATCACCCAAAAGACGAAAATAACACTGAACGAATAGGACTGACGAGATTCCATCTGTTTGCAGCGTTCACCATGTTCGTCGCCATCACCTTCCCTTTCTTCGGTGGGCTGCTCGGCTTCTTCGGCGGGTTCGCCTTTGCGCCGACGACATACTTCGTAAGCATTTCTCTCATCCACTCCACTTGAGTTAATCACAGGAATCGGTAAAATTCAGAGTTGCTAATCTAAGTCAACACCTGTTATTCCTGCAGCTCCCCTGCGTCATGTGGCTCGCCATCTACAAGCCCAAAAGATTCAGCCTCTCATGGTTCACCAACTGGGTAAGCTATCTATCTGTAGTTATATATATGCCTCTCCTTGGTCAATCTCAACTCCGGCCTAATTTTTGTGTGTGTGTGTGTTGTGCCATGATCTTCAGGTCTGCATCGTCCTTGGGGTGTGCCTGATGATCCTGTCGCCAATCGGAGGGCTCAGACAGATCATCTTGGATTCCAAGACATACAAATTCTACTCATAGACCACTTCTACGACGCATTTTGTCTTGTGGAAACTGCCAAGAGATCATTTACGATGTCTACTATAAACTCTCTTGTCTTGCAAAGGAAAAAAGAAAAGAAGGGGAAGATCATAGCACCACGGACTGTTACAGATGGGACGGTAGATGCATATGGTCAGAGAAAACTTGGTTTAGTCAAAGCAAAAGGGTTGTGTTTGTGGTTAATCATGTGTACGTAATATATATGTTGTGTGGATTTGACTCTGTGCTGTAGGATCGACGATCTTTTTTTCTGCTCAAACTTGCATGGATGAACATGGCTTCGCTTTCGTGTGCAGATGAGAAGATCCACTGTTCTTTTCTACACTTTTTTGTGTGTATGCTACTGCCTTCCAATTAAAAGAAACAGATGGTTCTTTAAGAGAACAAGACTACTAACCATAAGTTTTTTTATTTAATAAAACACACTTGGACGTGGCTAGCGAGCTCTCGGGTGCCTGCTGGTATGATCCAGCGCTCTTACCATATATAGAAAATGCAACCGGTCCCTCCGCACGCGCTTCCAAAAAAAGAAGCACCCTGGTCCTTTGCCACCATCTCCTTCCACGTGATCCTGTTAAATTAGCCTAGATTTTGTCGTCACGTGCATTTGTTGGGGTTCAAAAATTCTTAAAAGTCATAACTTTTGATTCAAGCGTCGGAATTCAGTTCCGTTTTCACCGTTGAGTTTCTCACGACGAGTTCTTCAAAACTAGATCCCATATGAATAGGTTTCGTCAAACTCTTTTTTTTTGGCCAACTTTGGATGCGATGAAGGCAACTATAATGCTGTACGGAAGCAACTTCTTTTTTTATCCTAGTAGACCGTGTATTAGGTTGGTTTGCATAAAAATGAGAAAAAACACAAAACATCAGACCCCTTTGGTGCTATATACAAAACAACTTCGTTGGACTATGTGTATCCGTGAATTTTGCTAACATTACCCCAACTTGCCTATCACGGCTACTCAGTTGTCTATTGTGTGATGGTTAGTTGCCTACGGTTGATGTTCAGTTGCCTATAAATACTATAAATTACCTAACATTGACGCCTAGTTACCTGATATTTGTAATTAGTTGCTTATCATTGCTGCCCAGTTGCCTAACTTTGTAGAAATAGTTGCCTACAATATTGTGAAGTGGTTTATCATTATTTTTCTAAGTTGCCTACAAATACTTTGAAGTTGCCTCGATTCACCACCAAGTTTCCTACCATAACTAGCAATAGCAGACAAAAAGAGTATAAATGGTAGATGACATTGTAATATTATAGGCAATGTAGAAACAGTGACTTACGAACATGAACAATAGAAAACTTAGAAGTACCGGTGGGGAAGTTAGGAGAATGTCATACAAAATTAACTAGGACACAAAATGTAGAGAAGTTGCCTATTTTTAGCACTAAAGTTGCCTCTAGTAGAAAGAAAGTTGCTTATGAAGGCAATGTGATGTTATTTACGTCTGTTTTGAAGTTGTTCTCTATTACTATTTCGTTGCTTATTGTTGGTAATTAGTTACATTTACTGAAGTGAAGTTGCTTCTGTTTAACACTAAAGTTGCCTCATCTGGCATTAAAGTTGCTTTTTTTAAACATTAGTACATATCCATGTGGGGTTTAGTTTTGAAAGAGCTCATCGCGACCTGGGTAGCCAATACTCACGTGCTCAGTAGTGTTGTCGGACAGACTCCCCCCTAGAAAGCACACGGATCTTATACCATCCATCCCCACATAGTTTCGAAATTTGAAGTCATGATAGATGACTTAGATCCCATAAAAAACCTTTTAACATCGTAGGCAACTTAGGTCCCTTATGGACAACTTCCATAGTATTGTAGGAAATTGAGGATCACTCGTAGCCAACTTCGTAGCGACGTAGGCAACTTGGTTTCTGAAGCCATGCAGGAGAAGTTTCCACTATATGGTAAGCAACTTGCACAGTATGGTAGGCAACTAAACAATCTACAACTTAGTTTCTGAACCATGGTAACCACCTATTACACTAGTGCACACAACTAATTAGGAGGTTACTAGGCGAATTCACTTGTACACATGGTGCAATTCCTGTAGCATCAAAGTTACTGATTTTTAACACTAAAGTTGCCTCATATAGCATCAAAGTTGCTTTTAAAAAAGTTCAACAGAACATATTCATATGGGATCAAGTTTTGAAGAGCTCATCGCGAGGAACCTAATGGTGAAAACGTTCTTCGTTCTGACATCCGTTTCAAAAGTTGTAGCTTTTTGAAAAAACTTGTAACTGAATAAATAGGTGACGTTAGCACATGCATGTGCATCGGCGGCGGCTATCCACATGCACGCTGACATAGTCCCCACACGCTGGCATCAACTGTTGTGTTAAAATAGTCAAAGCATCAACACATGCATGCATCGGACGACTCGCGCGCATGCGCTCGCAACGCCCGGATAGCGCAGCTGCGCGTTTAAGTATTTAGGAACACACTTTTATTGACTCATAACTCGTGAAGGTGATACAAGTCGGACGGTTCACATCCAGCCTTTGCATAATCAGGATGCACAAAACTAAAAAGGAGGACGAAATCTATTAAAAAAAGAATGACAAAAGCATAATGCCATGACAAGAGTAATCACCAATAAAGGTGAAGAGCCGATTCGAACACTATGCCGTTATGTATGTTGGAAGAAAAAACATCCTTGACCGCTTGCTAACGTTGTCACTTCTCTACTGCTCGGCGGCTAGCTGAGCCATGCGATGCGCGATCTCACCAGATATGCGCTAACTTGTCGACATCAGACCATCCTTTCAGCCCAGTCTCAGTCTCGGGGCTATTGAATCCCCTTCAAAACAACAAAGAGAAGAAAGCTCGTGAAGGAAAGGTTTCGATCCTCAAACCAGGCTGGAGTTTCAGGGGCTACTACATCCCTTTTAAAAATAACACAGGAGCAAGAGGATTCTGAAGAGAAGATTCAATCCTCAGCCGACCTTCCAGCCTGGCCAGAGTCTCGGGGATTATTGTGTCAACACTTTTATCCTAAAAGCATGACATGGGGTCCCTACAAGAAGATATCGATCCTCGAGTCAGCCTTCCAGTCCGGCCTGAGTCTCAGGGGCTACTGAAACCGCACATTTTGACCTAAGGAAAAATTCGAAATCCTCCAGGAGGCTTGCATAAGTCGGCTAGAGGCTCAGAGGCTACTGCAACCAACGCAATCAATTCAAAGTCCGAAGTATAATGATCCACAGTTTGGCCTACGTTGTAGGCCAAAACAACAGCTCATCGGGGGCTACTAGAAGAACAATTTAGAGAAAAAATAAGAAAACACAGGTTGGATGTTCAGAACCAACCTGCGTCCCGAGAGCTATCGCCTACATGAGAAATATTAAGTGAAAAAGCACATAGTCACTAACCTCGATAGACTGTGCGAACGCCGCAGTCAAATATGCCACAACCTCCTCTATAGCTTTTGGCCTTCTACTAGGTGAAGACGAGAGCAACCTTTTGTTCCTGAGACAAGGTGAATCAGGCTGGCTTAGACATCTGTTGGCGGATGATGGTCCTTGCCTCTGAAAATTCAACTGACATGTCGCCCGACATGCGCCCAACAGTTGCACTAGCAGAGGAGCATGGGACGACTTGTTGATGGCACTATATTTTACGCATTCTATAGCTCATTTGTTGCATGTCCTCTCCCTATATCATGTCCCAATGAACCAAATATATGTCCATTATGCATGATTCAGTTTTCATTGTAGCATTGCATAGTTTGTGTTTTATTAGTTTCCTTTGCTTTGTTGCGTCTACCAAGAGCAACCTAGGACCATGCACGTTGAAAAGGCTAAATATGGGTTCAATACGGAGGACTTCTTGAAGGAAATATGGCCTAGAGGCAATAATAAAGTTGTTATTTTATCTTTCCTTATACCATGATAAATGTTTATTATTCATGTTAGAATTGTATTAACCGGAAACTTGATACATGTGTGGATACATATACAAAGCACAATGTCCCTAGTAAGCCTCTACTAGACTAGCTCGTTAATCAAAGATGGTTAAGTTTCCTAACCATAGACATGTGTTGTCATTTGATGAATGGGATCACATTAGGAGAATGATGTGATGGACAAGACCCATCCGTTAGCTTAGCATAATGATCGTTAAGTTTTATTGCTATTGCTTTCTTCATGTCATATACACACTGGTACGCGTCGGTGCTATACAAACGGTTTTTAACCCCTTTCCACGATGGCATTTGGGACCGTCGCCAATTGAGTGTGTGCGATAGGGTGTCCTTTCCACACGACCCAAAAACCGTCGGGGATATGGAGCAGTGATCCAGAGGCCTTCCAAAATATAATCGTGTGTGATACATCACACACTAAATTCTTTCGCACGTGTGATATCGGTGATTAAGCGTTTCTAATGATGCGGTGAAACCATATGGTCTGTTGTAATGAACCGTTTGGGAAACAATATGTAAGACACATGGGCCAACATATGAACTGTGTGCGATTTGTGCCCCATCGCACACGAGTTCTCTGCGTAACCCGTCTGCCATGCTAGACTCCATCGCACACGTTTGCCAACAATTACCATCTGCGATAATGTTCTATCACAAACGGTTTAGGATCCCCTTCGCACAGATACAAGTGTTGTAGACCGTTTGTGATTTGTTGGGTATCACCGATGGTTGCCGCAAGAGTAACGTGTGCTTTTTGTTTGGGATCCCACATGCTTCCTGAAGAATTATGACTGGGATTGTATTTTGCATTGGGCACGGTTTACTCGCTGTTCTCGTGTGTGATAACGTGATATCACAAACGGTTTTGGAGACCCTACGCACACATAGTAGCGCTGCAAATTGTTTGCGATCTGCTGTGTATCACCGGCAGTACCGCTACGATTGACGTATGCTTTCCGATGTGGATCGCACACACTCATTTAGTTGAACCGTGTGCGGAGAAATTGCCAGGTTAAAACAAAAATATCCCATTTTGAATCGGCACGCAAAAAGCAAATTTCATGCCGAGCCTCTCTTCTTTGCTGAGTGTGAAAGCCCTCTTGTGCGGGACATTAACACCTATACCCCTTGCATGGCCAGGGGGCTCTTTTGTTTCCAGAGCAATGGACAGAATGCCACATGGCCCTGAGTTCCAGTAGAACCTTCCAGGGATCTTGGAAGCTTCTAACATCACTTCATACAGTTTGGCGTCACATGCGTTTTCAAAGTAATAAGTTCCGTCATCACGCCTCTTTGCACGTGCCCGCAAGTAGTCTCTGGCGCGTTCGCCCCTGATTTCACTAAAGGCCGGATTCCCACTCGCCGTGACTGCTTCTTTGTGCTCATGTTCCCATATCAGTTTCATGTCGTAGTATCCTGCCACACCCATACGGTGGGGGTGTATGTTCTTCTTCTGAAGTTCCGATTGCTTGAAACTCTTCTCAGCAAACTCTTTAGTTGCCCCGACCCTTTTGAATTATGTTAAGTCTGCCTTTGTAATTTGGGGATATGCAGGGATTGGGTCCTTACCTTCACTCAAGTACTTCTTGTACAACACGTGCTTCCAGTTTCTCCAAGCATCCCTAGCCTTCTTCAGTGCAGCGTGTTCCACCTGCAATCTCCACTGCTCTGGAACGTTGAAGTGATCCATGATCTCCCGGACTATCCTTCACCGTGTTTCTGTGTCAGCCTTCTGAAACACTGACAGATTAATGTTGAGCCTTGCCCTGCCAACAAATCCACACACACTCCTAAACCTCATGCATGCTTTATCTGGTTTATTTGGAGCCCAAGACTTTAAATCAATCTCGGTTACTTCATATACACCTTTAGGCTGGTGTGTGGGCTTCCTTGGAGCATTCCTCCGTGTCCTGGCCAGAAGGGTAATTGTTGCAGCTCTATCCCGTTCAAGACTACTTGATCCCTCACAATCTGCTGAATACCTAGGGTTGTCCGGATCATATGAAGATACATGGCATGAAGCATGAGTGTTGTCACTGCTACTCGGCATCTATAGAGAACACATGCGAAACTCAGGAAAGGAGGATAAGCATAAAACTAACAACTTGGTATCAAGCTTTCTAAACATGCCATGCAATAATTTAGAAAATGTACGGCTAATTTGTTAAGTTTGTGTGACTCGGGCGCCCGCGATCTGTAAATAGGCAGTAACTTATTGGAACAAATACAGCTTATATGTAGTAACACTACTGCAGGATGCTGCTAATGCGACACTACGATCAGAGACCCTTCGACGAAACTATGTGCGATGCAATAATCACAAATGGTGGTGTAAAAAACCCGTCAAAAAAGGTGCAAAACGTTTGTGACAGAGGATACATCAAACACGGTTCATATTTTAGTTGCGTGTGCGATTCAGGGCATACAGTTCAGTTCAATTAACTGTTTTCGATGAGGAGGAACAAAAGAAACGGGCAGCCAGATGAAGGTGTGTGCGATGTACATCATACGGTTCACTCGGATGAACTATTTGTGATTAGGCAACACAAAAGAAACGGTCAGCCAGATTAAGGTGTGTGTGATGTACAACATACAGTCACTCGGATGAACTATTTGTGATTAGGCAACACAGAAGAAACGGTCAGCTAGATCATGGTGTGTGCGATATATGACATGCGGTTCACTCGGATGAACTGTTTGCGTTGAGACAAGAGAACAGAAACGGTTCAATATAACAAATATCGTAAATATTGCAAGGTTCAAATTCAAAGATTACAACGCCCAAATTCAAACATTGCAAACCGCGTCATTTCTGAAAAGGGATCAGCCGCTGACAAGTCATGTATGGGTTTGACACAATGACTTCCAATTGCTTTGCCATATGCTCTTCCAATACGAAGTTTGGCATTTTTTGAGGCACTTCCATTCCGCAGTACCTGTCGGCTATGATAATCATACCATTGATCTTTCCTAATTAAATGCGTGTTCAACCTTAGTACCCTCAACACCTTTGCTCTGGCAAGAAAGAAATTGGTGAGTGTAATCTCCGGTAAGGTTCCTCGGTAGGATTTCAAAGTAATATTTGAGAGATGCAGATCCAGACATTCGATGTGATTGTTGTTATAAACATTATCCACCTCATGGCCTATTATTATCTGCAAAAGAAGAGAATGTGTTAGTGCCTACATGCAGTTTTGAACACTGCTACACGCCCATTTGGTTTGCAAGATTTGTAAAATGCACCAACGTGCCATCTTCGATCTGGCATGATTAACATGGGCATTTGATTACAATCTAAAAACATGTAGCCTTCTTCACAAGAGGTTGGATTGGATGAAAAATTCCCTAAGAAAACTAGTACAGATGAATCCAAAGGAGAAATGCTTATGAACGATTGTAACCATATGAATGAAGCAACCAATATGGGGTGGGGTGTATGTCCTAAAATCCTCCAAAATTCCTTCAAAAATCGTAGTACATTGTCATTGTAAACTTGGGAAAAGGTGAAAAAATTGAACTCCCTTATGGTTAATATTTAATAGGAAAGGAACATCACCTCGATATACAGCTTCGACAGGCACGGAAAGCATCTCAGGCAACTGACAACTTGGTCCAGGTTGGGGCCGACAGATTCTAGTGCCAAGACCTTCACTGTGCCCAGAGTCTGGGTGAAGCTTTGCTAGATGACAGATGAACATACATCTTCAAAACTAGAAATAACGTTGATATCAAGAAGGAGAGGTATATAAGGCGACTGTTGTACCTGAAAGTTGTAGTATTTACAGACGAGTAGCCCACCACTTTCAATTTCGGCGCAGAAATGACATTGATTCTTGTTGGACCTTGTTGATCAACTACAAGTAATCTCTCAAGTGAAGGTGTGTCCTGGATGACCATATTGTGGTCCACCTTTTGTGATCTCTCGTTGCAGCACCAACAACACACATAAATAGTCCCGAGAGTCCTGGAGGTGATGTGCAAGGTACTCGACCAATTCATCGCCTGAAGATGAAGGAACTCGAGTACAGTACAGCCGCAAAGCACGCGCTCCATGTTATCCTTTGGGATGCAAGCAGCGACGAGCTCGAGGTGCTTTAGTCGTGGTAGAAAGAGAGCGGTCGCGTCATTAAGGGGGGATGGCAGTTCATGAACTTGGCGACGCACAGCGTGGGCGCGAAGCGAAGCGCGAACGTTGGCAGCAAGCGCATATGCCCATCATTATAACTTAGCTTCTCGAGCTGATCTATGGCAGGGGATCGGAACCACTCATCAAGCTTGGCTCGGTCCTTGCCATTGGAACGGAACTTGCTCGTGATAAGGCCTTTGATTGGGCCATCGTGACTGCCGAGGATCCGGGAGAACGCATCCAAGCTTTGGCGATAGCCATGGCAGAGCTTGTGGGCATCGAGGAGGTT